CTGTGGTCCCTAATCACTCTTGGGTTCTAGGGCTTAGGCTTAGCCTCTCGCTGTCAACCCCGAATGTTGCGGGACCCCGGCTGGCAACTGCATCTTCCAATGCACACCGCATGAGGATGCCGCCCTTGCAGGGTCAGCTACTTGCAGGATCATGGGACTTAGTAAGTAAGGTTATAAGTCCCTTAATTCGGGTTATAAGTATAGTTACCTTAGTTATAACCCTACTTACTAAGTCCCATGATCCTTTAAGTATGGATCCGTTTGGGATCTTTTCGGTAGGCTTTGGGTTCTCGGGGTCCAAACTCTTCAAGGGGGACAAGCCATCAGTCCCCCCATGGGAGGCGCTTGAATTTCCACAGCAGCGGGGTGTTGAGGATGTACGGTGCTATAGATACATGAGGATTTAACCAGCAACGTTCTTCCTTGGCTTACGGATTGAGGACTATTAGCGACCAGGAGGAGGAGGTTAGGGCGTAGGAAACTTCCCGAAGCCATATACCCGAAGCCTTCAGAACGCAAGCTCACAGGCTCTAGCGCGCATCCCTTACTCAAACCAACACTTCTGCAGCGCCATCTCCATACCATGAAGAACACCGCATGGCGGATTCTTGCAGCAGCTGGTTTCCGAAGGATTATCAACCCTAACAGAAGACCCCATACAGTTGCCGACACAGACCTGGGAAAAGGTTTGACTGCCAGCATCACGAAGTCCAGGACTAGGACCGATACACCACCCTCCAGCGACCAAGCCGTCAATGCCCAAGCCCTACACTCCTGACCAGCCATAAAGCATAAAACTTATACCCCCGGCATTGTGAACCGAAAGGCCCATGTATTTGAGGCCGTGGCCACTTGGGGAGACAGCCTGCGCCTGGAAGAATGTCAGGGTTTGCGTTTGGGTTCAGGCCCTAAAACTACGCAGTTTATTTAGAATTGCCATGACGAGGCACTCTCGCTTTGATGCAGACTTCATTAAAATAGACTCGGTTGATTAGAACTCTGCTGACGCGACAACTGCAGGTCAAACAGAACAGTGCCCCAACTCGAGCGTGGTTCGGAGCCCTTCGACCTAGTATCCAAGTCCACACAGCACGCCAGCAATCCTGTTGAGACACACCAGTTTGCCCTACCAGGCCGTCTTTTCGGGTGCGGTTCCAGACAGTATCTATAAGCCCCGCACCCCGCTAGAAGCGTCACATGGCAAACCTCATTCACCTTACAAGCACTGCACTTGTATCTCCCTGCTGTATGAGAACCCCCTCCTGTGAACTCCTGTTGATTCATACCAACCCCTGTCCTGTGTTAAATCATACCAACGTGGAACCCTACCAGGAACTATAACAGTATCCACTTATAGTTCCCAATACCATGTAGTTAGGCAGCCGAGTGCTTCAAGATGCTGCCCAGCGATAAGCCTGCACCAAACGGCCCTTCGCACAACCCTGCTTTGTGCCGAAACATAAACTCGAAAAGATTCCGTATCCTCCAGTCCTCCGGCATTGCAGGCTTAACCCTTTGGAGACCATGGCCCAAGAGACACACACACGCACACACGCACACACATCTATTTCCAGGGGTCCCTGCGCATCGAGGACGATGGGATCTGAACCAGAAGGCCTGCTTGAAGCTTCTTTTCCGTCGCCGTGTGCTCGGGCTCACCACTGCAATCCGAAACCCTAGACTCGGAACCCTAAAATCTAAAAGAAAGCCTTACGCATGTGCCAGGGGCCAGGAACAGAGGCAACAAACCGTACAATCATAAACCCCACTTCCGCCGCTCTGGCACATGTCCATGTGAGGCATCTCCCTAGTGGGGGATGCAGGTAACCCTGCACCCCGGTTATGGCATATCCTGCTAAGAAGGCCTCTGAAGCACTCCTCTTACACACACCTCGAGCTTGCATTCCACATGAATTTGAAGATAATTCGAGCCTCGCGAGATGTTATGGATTTGCACCTTCGACCATAGTACTGAGTCGTTCACAACATGCCCTCGCAACAAACAAAACTAGACAGTAGATGTCCAGAGCCCGCCCCGCTGCAACAGGGAGCCTAGTCTGCTGCTGGGCTAGCATGCCCCCGAAGGTCTCTCGGTATAGCGCGATCGCTTCCTGCCGTGCAGCATGTCTTCGCTAGCCGGCAGCCGGGGACTAGTTGGGCGGATGCTCTCAGGTCAAGGCTTCGAGCGTCGGATTCAGGGCTCCACTTCAGACCACTGTAGAAATGTTTGGTGGCCCTAAATTTATAAATCTGGCAATACCGATACCGGGGGTTGGGCGGAACGCGACCTCAGCAGCAACCCAACAACCATGGCCATCAACTCAGCCATTGCCAGTACCACCGGCAGTGGTGGCTGCACCACAGGGGCGCCACAAGGTGCACCAGCACCAGCACGACACCCACGGGCGCCACCACCAGCACCACACAAACGCCACTGCCACTCCAGCACACGTGCGAGCACAGCCACTACCAACACTACAACGAACAGAGCAAACAACGATGCCACCTTAACTACTAACAGACAATAGAACCAACGCCACATCAACTACTTCGTGACGGCTACACCCGCGTCAGTCATCATCGCCAGCACCAGCATCACCATCACTATTATGTCGTGCGAGGTCGTAAGAAACGACCACAAAAAACAAGCGATTGCTGGGAAAAGGAAAAGCAACAAGTCAAATCTAGGTATCATGAGCTTAGCGAAGGAATCTCAACCGAGGCACATCATTGCGGCCGACCTGGCGACCAGTGATGTCTGGGTCTAGGCTCCAAGACTGGTTGCTTAAATCCTGCAGGCTGTAGAGTTCGGGCATGCGCGCTCAGATTTCGTGTCAGCACAGTCCTGAGAAGAGTGTTTCGGCTAATGGGTTACGGCTTTGTAGTTAAAGGCACTCGCGTTCCAGGAGACAGTTGGAAACCTCATAGCTGAGCCGTGGCCGTCGGGTATGTCATGTCGGAGCCCTTGCCATAAGAGTCCCATTTTTCAGGGTTCGAGATTTGGGCCTTCCATTTCTCTGAAACCTTCCCCCCCCCCCAAAAAAAAAAACACCCCTGGGAGATCACTGGGTTGGCCGACCCAGCTGGTCTGAAGATCTTTATGTCCGAAACCAGTACGTCCTTGCAGTTGTTTTGGGGTCTAGGTTTGATTAATGACATTTCTGTGTTACGTACTAGCATAAAACACGACAAATGCGTTGATTCACCTTTTTGCCTATATCTTCTGTGTTCAACGCATAGACCATTCGTATGATTATGAATACAATCGTCGTTGTCGTTCTAGCAGTAGTAGCAGTAGTAGTAGTTTTGTCACCTACCTGGCATGTCGTAGTAGTAGTAGTCGTAGTAGTAGTAGTAGTAGTAGTAGTAGTAGTAGTAGTCGTAGTAGTCGTAGTAGTCGTAGTAGTAGTAGTAGTAGTAGTAGTAGAAGTAGTTAGTAGTAGTTAGTAGTAGTTAGTAGTGGTTAGTAGTAGTAGTAGTAGTAGTAGTAGTAGGAGTAGTAGTAGTAGTAGTAGTAGTAGTAGTAGTACTAGTACTAGTAGTAGTAGTACTAGTACCACTACTAGTAGTAGTAGTAGTAGTAGTAGTAGTAGTAGTAGCAGTAGTACTTGTTGTTGTTGTTGTTGTTGTTGTTGTTGTTGTTGTTCGTTGTAGCAGCAGCAGTAGCAGTAGCAGTAGCAGTAGTAGTGTAGCAGTAACGGCAGCAGTAGCAACTGCCGTGGACTGTGAACAACCTCGAACATCAAGCTGAAGCAAAGCAAGAACCAAGGGTTGGAGCTAGGGTTCTCTGGTTGCGGGGTTAAGGATTTCACGGGTGAAGGCACCTCACACATGGCGGTGATGGCTGGCAGTGCCAGGTCCGGTCCAAGAAAGCTGGGATGCTCGGCCTTACAATGATTTCAGAGTTTAGCAGGTTTGAGGCTGAGGGTTTGGGGTGTTGGACGTCTAAGGAGTCTTAGGGGTGTTGCAAGCCATGAATCCGACGAAACCGCACGCTGAAACCGAACATTCAATTCCTAAACCGAGCTGAGAACTCGAAAACACGAGGTACAGGTTGAATGACAGAACCAATGACTAAGGTTACAATGGTATGGGTGGAGATGATCAAAATACTAGCGTTGGAGTGCTTAGAGTTCACGGCTTCACTGAGCACCGACGGTGCTGATGATGCTAGTGTCGCTGTCGATGATGATGCTGACGATGAATGCCGGGGATGCCTGTAAAGAGGTCGTCATGCGAATGCTGAAACGACTCCCGACCAACTGCGGCATACCACATGCAGGAAGAAGGGGGCCGAAATACGGGGAGCTATGTCTGTCGTGATTCAAGCTTTACGTCATTTACTAAACCCCAGCATGGGCTTGGATTGTGTGCCAGCGAACACACCTCAACAGCAGGGCCTTCTCGTTTAACGGGGGATGCAACCGGAGGAGTGACAGAAACATAAGCATGAAGCAAGTAGCGACGATCTTCCGAGCTAGAAATACAAATTGCAGAACTTACCAAACCCCCAAGCCTAAACGGCATCATGTTCTCGCCGTGTTCCCTTCGCTTGCCTCCACCTCCGCGTAGAGCTTCAGAACCTGTCAGAGTCTTGAGTCTGGGATTGCTGGGCTCTGAAGTCGAAACTTGTCCTCCAAGGCCTAAGCCCCTTAACTGCAATGAGGGTCCCTAACACTGATAATTAGAGCCCTTCCAATGCCCTTTCAGCTTTCGACTCTAACGTCCTCTCAGGACTGGCAAGGTCTGTAGCGATACTGTCATTGTACGATCATTAACTACATGTTAAAGTCGATATCACTCTGACGTCCTAGAGCAATTAAACCACCGTGCGACATTATCCATTTGACAGCCTCCTTCAGAAAGCGCACTCGCCTAAGAACCCAGACGGTAAACACACCCAAGAACTAGTTTGCGGCGTTAGGGTTAAAGGATTGGGAGACTTACTGCGGGGCCCTTCTTGCAGTCAACTCGAAACCCTGTTTGAGTACCCTACACGGCTAAGCCACCTCGTCCCAGCTCCGCGCCCGTGCGCAAGCAGCAAGTACGGTCCGATAGGCGACACGATCCTCACGGGCCCAGCGGTTGGGCTGGAATTTTCTCGTGGCTTTCCGCCGCATGACACGGAGAGTCTCTGCTTCACATTCACGGCTATCCAGTCAAGCAAAGAACCAACAACACGTTCATGAGACACATTTCGGCTGGAACTCCTTCTTCCAACTCACAAAGCTTCCAATCGCGCACGAGTCCATGATGTTTTTTTTTGGACCGCCTGCCCGAACCTAAACTCCTACCCGACCCTCTTGAGCCTGAAACCCTAAAGCCATGTTCCTAACACATGTTGAACAAAGCCTAACACCATAAAGACCCAGCATGCACTCGAGGCCCCTTCGAGCAGGCAGACTAAATGACCGGTGACCCTACTACCATCCGACATGTATACTACGACGACGTATACATCAGATCGAAACACTTTTTTTGACAAGGGACTCTGCTGCTGCCCTTACTGCCCAGCTTGACCCACAAGACAGTACTCATGACTGAGTTCGAAACACTTGAATACTAAGACTCTCGAACTTGTTCTCAAGATCCCGAAACCGACAAGTCCGTAACTCTACATCTTACCACATCCCAAAGCCTAGCCCTCATCCCACAACACTTGTTGCACCATAAACTCGAAACCCAACTCCGACAGCTGCAGCCATAAACCCCCCAAAACACACCAACCCTAAGCTTAAAGAAGCGCTACATCCCCAGCTTTAAACCCCCAAAACCCACACCCAAGCTTAAAGAACCCTAAACCCTAAACCCTAAAGCCCTACATCCCCAGCTTCGGGTCCAGTTCCGTGCCGTCCCGGGCCATGGTGCCCAGGAGCTTCAAGGCCACATCCGACTTCCCCAGCTGCACGCAGGCCTGTCAGAGAAGAGCTGGGAAAAAGGGTTTAGGGTTTAGGGTTTAGGGTTTAGGAGAAGAGCTGGGTAGTTGTCAAAATTATGGTCCCTTTTGGGGTACCCTAAATAATAGGTGCCGTATGATAATAAAGACCCAAAAAGGGGACCATAATTTTGACAACCACCCAGCTGGGAAAGGGTGTAGGAACACGACTCCCTCACAACTCGGACGAGCCAGGCGAGGTCTATCAGGTGCCAGTCGGCGTGAAGCTCCGTGAAGGTTCGTGTAGGAATTCGGGTTTCGCTTTTAGGGTTCGGGTATGTTCGGGTGCAGGAGTCAGCCTTTGGGGTTGCAGGCTGTAGTTGAGGATTCCGGCTTTGAGCCGCATGCCTCAAGAAGCCCCCCAAAATCCAACAATCCGTGGGGTCTAGACAAACACAGGGGGCTTCGTCCTGGCCTTAAGCACGGCATTGCAGGTCATCGAGTGTGGGCTGATGCCGCGCGAGCCTTGAGTGATGGGTCGTCTTGTGCTGCTGCGTTTGCTATGTTGTTTCTTTGCTCGTTCTTGAGCTCCGCTTTCCCCGATCCTTCAGGTCTTGGGGCTTTGGCTTCAGACTCGATTCTTGGGAGTTTCCGAAAATTAGGGGGTACCTTTTTGGGGTCTTTATAATAAGGATCTTACTATTTAGGGTACTATATTAGGGTCCCTTATTGTCGGACACCCCCATTCTGCAGCTCATCGTCCGACATTATCCACAGAACCCTTGAGGAGGTGAACCAGGTCTCTCCCAGCATCTAACCGCACCCCTCGGTGCAGAAGTGTTGATGCAGGTACGATGGCTCCTTTAACGGATCCCCCGGATCAAAAAAGGCTTCCGAGGCAAAAGCTTGGGGCCATATATTAGTATTATTATTATTATTATCGTCATTATTGTTATTATTGTTATTATCATCATGATTATTATTATTATTATTATTCCATGCACGTTCAAAGCCCTGGGGCCCCCAGAACAAAGAGGCGTTCATTGGGGCTCCAGGACTCGAAGCTTCTTCAGATGCTTACGTTATTTTCGGCTCTCACTTAGGTTATTTAGGGTTTCGAGTTTAGGGCTTAGGGGTTTAGGGCTTAGGGGTTTAGGGTTTAGGGGTTTAGGGTTTAGGGGTTTAGGGTTTAGGGGTTTAGGGTTCGTACTTCAGCACTCACAATTAGGGGCACAGGCAGGCGAGGGTCCGAGACAAACCGGTTCGGGGCCAGATATCAGCGGCCGTATCTTCAGAAGCTGCCCCCAACCTTTGAAGCCCCAAGCACCAGCCTTACTAGCTTCATGGGTAGTTCTCTAAATTTTGGGCCCCTTTTAGGGTCCTTTAGAATGGGGACCTAAAGAGGGACCCAAATTTAGAGAACTACCCTCATAATGTTGCATCTACGGGCCCTATTAATAGTAACAAGCTCTCTTGGAGACAAACCCAAGTCAAGTCAACCAACGTCCACACCCAGGAGCCCATCGCAGTGGCCAGAGACAGGATCTCTCTCCACAACCCGTCCTGCAATTCCGCAGGCAACACAGAGGCCTTCTAACACTTAGTGTAGGGTCCTGGAGGTATGTTATGGCATAGTTGTATAGCTTCTAAATAGGGAGACACCCGTAAACCCAGGCTTCAGGCTCTCTGGTTTTGGGCTATAACGTTTTGGGTTCATTAGGTTCGGATTCGAGCTTGCGGGCCTTCGTGACCTGCGGGCTTTAGGGGTTTAGGGTTTAGGGGTTTTAGGGTTTTAGGGGTTTAGGGGTTTAGGGCTTTAGGGCTTTAGGGTTTAGGGTTCGGCGCTTGACGTCTGGAGGTCATGCCAAACGACTGCAAGCTGGGTTTTAGTTCACCCCATCTAGCGCCCGTTCTCAAAAACTGTCGTACATAATGGACTCCACGCGGCGATTGTCAAGGAAGGGCTTGCTGTAACAACTCATGGATAATTACGTGTAACGCCGAAAGTATTGAATAGAAGGCCCCTAAGGACTCTGACGTCTCCGGCACAGTTCAAAACGGACAAAGAAATCCATGGCCAGTATGTCCATGCCACAAACATAAAGCTGGATGCAGCTGATTATCCGTAGTGTTGTGCTTCGAGAACTCGGATTGAGCCCAAAGCCTCGAGCTTTGAAGATCATGAAGCCCTGCGAGTGCCTGTAAAGCCCTGACGAAGGTGCACCTGAATAGCAATTCAACAGTAAGAGCAATCACGCTGGAATGCGGGGTATGTCACCGGAAGTTGTCCAAGAAGAGCAATATAAGAATACTGAATACTGATTAGTGCGACCCGATCCTTCTCACAGACATTGATCGCCATGTCAAAATGGACTTCCGTGAGGTTCACACTCGTGTCGTCCACAAGCTGCTGAAAGATCTCCAGGCCCTCCGAGTAGCGACTTGGGAATTGCAAATTGCGGGTTATATTCGTTTGAAACGAAAACTAGCATGATGATTACTAAGGGTGATGTCACACAACTTGAAAAATAGGTCCAGGAACCCATCATGGTTGATATACCTCAAATGCAAACGGTCCCACGCAACCCTCATGCTGGCATTTGTTGTGATTCAGCCTGCTGGCGCGCTCCTCTGACTAGACAAGTTCCTATAAAGCTGCATGGCCGTAGCAAACTACTGTACCTCCCATCAGAAAGGCTGTCCGGGTGCCATTGAAGCTGTTCAAGACCTTCCGAGTAAGGACCCGATATAGTCCAAAATCCCTAAGCCTTACAACCCAACCCTGAACCCTTTCAACCCGCAAGCATACCCATAGGCCCCATAGTAGTTCCTTTTGGGGTTACCTTGTGGGATTCTATATATGAACCCCAAAAAAGAACTACTTTAGGGCCTATGGGTAAAGCTCTCTACTCCACCCCTGAGCCGGCATAGCCCAAGGCGTGCCTTTTGCCGATCCCGCTCCTGTCCCTCCTCGCCGAAGAGCGCCCGCAGCAAGGAACAGAGCTGGGTCTCGTTGGGCGTGATGCCTCGGTGAATGTGAGGTTTTGGGTTTTGGTAAAGCCACGTAAACTACTGGCCTTCGATCCTACAGATCTTAAACTGAGCCCTCAACCCAAACAAACCTGTATACACCCTTTTAAGACCAACCTGCACTGAGAACCACAGATCCAAACTTCAAAGCTAGGATCCGGGGTTTAGGCTGTGGACTCGGCTTAAACAACTTTTTTTTTGAACCCGGAGCTCTATCCAAAAATCTAAAGACTAAAACCCTAGATCCTGTCTTTCAAGCTGAATCTGAAAAAGGAAACCAGTGAACGAGCCTGCGTATAGCAGAGGGTTTCGACACGCACCGATGACTGTCCGAAAAGACATGGTGATCTCCCCAATGCATCGCAGAGAACACGGGTGCGGAAGATTTCGGCCCAAGCGCTTGGAGTTTTTGCTGGCAAGTTTGCCCCCGCCCTTTTGAGACTTTGAAGTCGGTTATTGTGTGGACTTTAGGAACGCAGGTGTTGGCTGCAGGCTCCAAGCCTTCTGCAGGTCTACACATCAGCCTGCACACGAGGGTCGTCAAGTGGGTGCGCACCATTTGTGTTGCAATGGCCAAAAATCAAAAATCCAGAATCCAGAAACCCTCGAGCCTGATCACGTTTGCTCGCTAATCTTAGGTCCTCTCAAACGGTTCAACAACAAACGGAACAGAATGCGATGCAAGCCCTCGCATTCCAGCATTCTCAGCAGAAGCCCAACTATCGCGTAATGCATGTGCACAGACACCAAAAATGCATTGTGAGACTGACAAATAGCATCAAAAACAACGGCCCCAACTGTAACACCTGTTTACCAGCTCTTCGAGGCGTCACGATCACCTTGGACTGCATCATATCAGACCACCAGAACCAACCAACAGTAGCTGGGTAATGCAGGGTCCTTAGCAATTAGACTAGAGTTTTGCAGTATAGTATACTATAATTATAATCAGGAACCCCAAATAGTATAGGTCATCATTCAGGCTTCTATATTACAGCCTCTGCATTCCTCAAGCCCTAACTCCTAAACCTTGAACCCTGAACTTCCTAAACCGCCATTTCGATTCAGGGTGCCGTTCTCCCGCATGGAGATGTAGAGTTCGAAGCATCTCTCGTGGTAGTCCGGGGAGTAAGATAAGCCTTGAGGCTCGGAGTGATGAGCTCTTCCGAAAGTTCCACGAAGGTTTCACAATGTTCCACAGGGGTTAGGGTTTAGGGTTTAGGGTTCAGAGGGGTTTGGCTCAGGGTCTTGAACTTAAGGCTTGGAAATTGTATAGGTTTCAGAGTTGTGCCTGAGGTACAGCGTCTACAACGAGAAGTTGTCTTCCTGGTGCCGCTGCAAGGTCAAGTGCTTCGGACCGCGAAAGGCTTGGGATTCCTGCAAAGGTTTGTCCAACAAGTTGCACAGGCATGATCGTGCCTTTTGGGTGTTTCGGGGTCAGTGTCTCCGTATTTACGTGGCTGCACGCCCCACCTAAACCTGTCTCACCCGTCTGTCCCTCCGGCCTCGAAATGAAAGCCTTGTGGCCAGGATAGGTTCGCGGTTCAGGGATTTTGGGGCTCCTAGGCCGTTTTGCCTCCTGCACTGCTGAGCGAATCACCATAGTCAGGGCTACAAATCTGAGAAAAGCGTCGGGTTTGGGGTGATGCTTTCAGGGTTCGTGGTTGGATGTCTTGGTCCTCGGGTTCTGGGTATGAATTGACGACGCACCCTTGGAAAGCAACCCACTTCGTGAGCCAACTCTCGCCATTACATTAACTTCCCCACAGGCGTCGCAAATGCTTTCGAACGAGTTCATGCAGAAACGCCAGAGAATGACAAACAAGCTCGGTGTCTGCTGCAAGCCTTGTCCAAATCTCAACACCCCCAACTTTGTGCACCTGGCCAGCTGCGCACCCAACATTTTACCACCCTCAATCACAAATATCTCAACTCGAAACCTTGAATCCCCAATCAAATTTCAAAACCCACTCCAAGTTCCATCTTAGCTGAGATGGGCCCTTCCACCGGAAGCTCATTTCTAGCTACGGCACCATGGAGGGCGGTGTGATAGCAGGAGTTGTTCAATGCAACACCGTCTTCCTGAAGTCAATGTTTGGGGCTTAGTGTAGGGCCTAGGGCATATTGAGGATGTGTATGTGAGTACATATGTATGTCTGCAAACAAGCAAGTATGCAAGTATGCACGTGTATGGGTGATTATGTGTGTATGTGTGTATGTGTGTGTATGTGTGTATGTATGTATGTATGTATGTATGTATGCATGCATGCATGTATGTATGTATGTACGTAGGTATGTCTGTATGTATGCGTGCTGGCAAGTTTCTCAGTAAGTACCCATGTACATATATACATATGTACGCACATACATACATACACACATACACACATACATGCATGCATGCATGCATACATACATACATACATACATACATACATGCATACATACATACATACCAACATACATACATACACACATACACACGCATACATGCATGCATACACGCATGCATACATACATACATACATACATACATACATACATACACACATGATATATACACAGATGCATACACATATGCACGCATACATGCATGTACATGCATACTTGCATATGCATGTATACACG